CTAATATAATTTTTCATATCCCTATCCCAATTCCCTTCAAACGTGCCCTAAGAGAAGGCAGCGCCTGGCTCTACCGATCGCGGCCAATTTCGGGATTCAATCTCAGGTCGTCCGCATAGGTTTCACGAATTCTGTATCACTTAATTCCAGGAAATTGCCCGCATGATGTCCGATTAGGAAGTAACGGCCTCGAGTCAGGACAGATCGGAGTTTAAAATTACTAATCCAAATATTTTTCTTCCGATTATGAGATTTCTTATGTCCACTTGTTTACATGATCCTAACATGACAACTTTCATCTACAATTTCCTTTCATATCAGATCTAAATTTTTTTTGTATAGATATGATTACGTAAAGGGTAGAGCGTATGAGAATCTTTACCAACATTTGAGTACGAAAGAAGAAGAGAATGACGTTTATAAGATGGCTAGGGTTCGTGAGAGAAAGACAAGAAACTTCAACCAAGTTAAGTACATTAAGGATGAAAGGGAGCATCTCTTGGTGAAGGAGGATGAAATCCAACATCGATGGCAAGAGTATTTTGACAAATTGTTTAATGGTGAGAATACGGACACAACCTTTCAGTTGGATGACTCTTTTGATGACATCAATAGGCGCTTTGTGCGGAAAATCTAAAAATCTGAGGTCAGAGAGGCGTTGAAAAGGATGAAATGAGGTAAGGCGATGGGACCGGATGGTATCCTAATCGAGGTGTGGAGATGCCTCGGGAACATAGCTATAGTATGGCTAACCAAGCTGTTCAACTATATTTTTCGATCGAACAATATGCCTGACGAGTGCAGGAGAAGTACATTGATACCAATCTACAAGAATAAAGGGGATATTCAAAGTTGTACTAATTACCGAGAAATTAAGTTGATGAGCCATACTATGAAGCTATGTGAGAGAATTATCGAGCATTGCTTGAGAGCAATAACGCCGGTCTCTATGAACCAATTTGGTTTAATGCCCTAAAGGTCAACCATGGAAGCCATTTTCCTAATAAGACAAATTATGGAGTGGTACAGGAAGAAGAATGACCTACACATGTTTTTATTGACTTGGAGAAGGCTTATGATAAAATACAAGAAATATTATGTGGTGGGCTTTGGACAAACATAAAGTCCCAACGAAGTACGTCGGGCTCATTAAGGACATGTACAACAATGTTGTGACTAGTGTTCGAACAAATGATGGAGACACGGATGACTTCCAGATTAGGATAGGACTATATCAAGGGTCAGCTTTGAACCCTTATTTGTTTGCCTTAGTGATGGATGAGGTCACAAGGGACATATAAAGGGATATCCTTTGGTGTATGCTTTTTACGGATGATGTAATGCTAGTTGATGAAAACCGGATAGGAGTGAATCAGAAACTGGAGTTATGGCGGTAGACTTTGGAGTCCAAAGATTTTAGACTTGGTAGAACTAAAACTGATTATATGAGATGTGACTTCGGCACTACTACTCGGGAGGAGAAAAATATTAGTTTGGAAGATCAAGTAGTGCCTAGGAAGGATATCATTCGATATTTAGGATCAATGCTACAGAGAGACGAGGATATTGATAAAAATATTAGCCATAGAATCAAAGTAGAGTGGATGAAGTAGCACCAAACATCTGATGTTCTATGTGACAAAAGGGTACCACAAAAGCTAAAAGAAGTTTTATAGGACGACGATTAGACCTGCTATGTTATATGATGCAGAATATTGACCTATGAAAAGACGACATGTTCAACAGATAAGTGTCGCAGAAATGTATGTTACGTTGGATTTGCGGTCATACTAGAAGGGATCGAGTTCGAAACGATGATATACGTGATAAATTATGGTAACACCAATTAAAAAAAAGTTTATCCAACTCTGATTGTGATGAATTAAACATGTCCGATGAAGACCTCTAGAGACATCGGTGCATAATAAAATCATAAACAACGTGAAGATAAACAGAGAAAGACCGGAGTTGACTTGGGTGGACAATAAAGAAGACTTAAAAAGATAAAATATATTTAAAGACTTAGCCTTAGAGAGAAGTGCTTGAATAATAGCTATTCATGTTCTTTACCTTATTGTTTATAGCCTACTCAAACCAGTCTGGGACTTAAAGCGGGACTTAAAAGGCTTTGTTGTTATTGTACAGACATGATTACATACTTTCGTATCAGATATGATTAATAGTACTACAATTTCCTTTGGTAGATACGATTATATACTGGGGGTTGAGTTATTTGGTAGAAAAAGTCTTACTAAATCGAAAGGGTTGAGAAACCAAAGTACAACAGGAAAGGTGAAGACGTACAGCAATTCTGATGGGATGTAACCATGATTACTAAATCGCAAATGCCTCAGATTTAAGTTTATTTCACAGCGAAAACGCTACAAAGTATATTTAACACCATCATCGGCAATTTGCTCATATCAGACTACGGAAAACAGAGCCACACAGAAAAAAAAAAGACAGACAAACAAATTTATCAAATTCAAAATAAACCAGATTGCAGATCTAAAATTCTGCCTCAGTGGTAGTGACAATTTGTAGATCGTCATGCAACAATCCGATAATACGTGCATTTGTAATGCATCATCGGCAGCCAATTAACACCGGGAAGCAAAAACAAGATCCCGGTAGAAATACAGATAAACGAGATTCGGCTCTGGGAGAGCTAAAGCATCAGAGAGATTCCCATTAAAGACTTAGTCTATCATGCCCAGAAAAGGGTTCTGATGTCCCTGTCTTGTTCTCATCACCTGCTCCCAACTAATCCCAATCCAAATCGCCAAGAAAAACGACCTCAAAACAATAGCCAAAGTTCCGGAGAAAAATCGGAAGAACAGGCTCAAACAACACGGCACAGCACGGAACGGAGCCGGCGCCACCCGCAGGCCGAATCGAACGGACGGAGAGCTTCGAATCGAAGGAGATAGGCGCGGCTGCTGTCGGCGGGGACGGTGAGACAAGGCGATTGTTGGGGCCTCTCTCTCCGGCGGCCGTATATATAGGTGTCACCGAACTTCCTAGGGTTTTCGGGTAAGCACCGAGTATGTTGTAGTTTGTGGGCTGGGCCTATTGTTCACAAGTTGGAACGGGCCCTAGGCGCTCATTTATTGGGCCCATGGAGATTTTATTATTTTCTCTATTTTTATGAGAAAAATAGCATTCGTGTCGTCGTGTTTACTTTTTTTAACGCAAATGTCGCCATGTTTACTATCTTCTTTATTTTTATATATGAGAAAAATAGCTGAGCTTGGTAATAAGAAATGTCCAAAAACTACTGCAACTCAGCTCGGCTCCTAAATACTCCCACTTCCAAAAATGATAATCATATTAGATTAGAGGAAAAGTCATACTTCATACCAACAATTAGTGGAATTGAATGAAAGCTTAGAGCATAAAACTATCAATAGATTTGTGTTAAAAGTGACTCTAAGATGATACTCTCTCCGTTCCAAATTATAAGTCGCTTTGACTTTTTTGGTTCATTGATTTTGCTATGTATCTAGACATATTATTATATCTAGATACATAGCAAAATGAATGAACCAAAAAATTAAAACGACTTATAATTTGGGAGACAATGAATACTTTATTGCACTTCTGAGTCCCATGTACCCAGTAGCACCGGTTCCATCTATTTTACACAATGCAGCCTTAATTGGGTGATGCTTGGTTTGTTGTACCTGGACCCACATATTTTCTAGCTTCACTACCACATTGTGGACGACCTAATAATACGACTACCATTTTTTTAACTGGGTGATGCTTGGTTGGCTGTACCTGGACCCACATATTTTCTAGCTTCACTACCACATTGTGGACAACCTAATAATACGACTACCATTTTTGAACGGAGGGGGCTCGTTGTGGCTCGCGAGTTCAACAACTACCGGTTGAGGGGAGCCATGTGGCAGGAGATGGACGCTGGAATCAAATCATGAACTCTAATAAGAGAAAATAAATGACCAACGCCCGTTTAGATATGGTTCGTTATCTGCATTTTTCTAAAACCAATTTGTGTGAAACTCTTGTACAATACAATTTCTATAAAGTTCCTGTGTTTCAAAGACCCAAAAGTTTATGTTTTGAAGAACACAGGGTTTTTCATGCATTTTTTTAAAATAAACCGATTTTTCTCTTGTAGAATTCCTATAAAATCTCTGTTTCAAAAAAAAAACTAAAGTTTAAATTTTGAAGAACACAAGGTCAAAGGAAAAATGGAAATTACTTGCAAGAACAGTCGGGCAAGGCTCAATCATGAACAAGATAACAATAGAATGATTCAAGTACAAGGAGCTGATATCTTTTTTCACGAACAGGTTGTAACCTGTCAAGGAGCTGATATCTCAAGCATAACCAAGTTCCGCTGGACTCCCTTTCCAAAACAAAAACAAAAACAAAAAAAGGATTGACTCCGCAATGGATTGAAACCGGCGAAGAGTGGATCCCGATAGCCTATTTGAAGAGAACAAATAATTGTCATTGTTCGAATAAATGCTAATGAGCCTACTTAAAAAAAAATGCTAATGAGCCACCTCCACCCGCTAAGGATTGGCTCACTTCGAGCTTGATTCGTTAAGGCTTGGCTCGTCTCGTCTTAAAGCTCATGATGCAGTAAAATAGATGCAGAAGCTGAAGAGCACAAAGTGTAATGTCAATTGTCAAGTGTGATATGTTAACGCTCGTCACAACCACGAATTTCTATAAACTACATCTGCACCAACTGTATTACGAACAGATAAAAAAAGAGATACAGTACATAGCAGCTGTCCAAAAAAAATTCACAGAGAACCAGAGAAGGATTTGCTTTTTGCTACTTGAGGCTACAGATCAATTCGTTAATGTTGAGATTCAATTGAACGAGCTAAATGACTCAACCACCAAAACTTTTTGGAGTCTAGTGGCAGCTGGAATGTACTAACCGCACTGCAACATATCAGACGGCGATCCATGACTTTCATTTGCTGCAGAACCGAGTCTGTAATTTTGAAACTAGCAGTCTATCCTTGGCACATACAATCAGGTGCAGGATAAGTATAGATGGATTGCGTTGCCTTTCTCAGCCGGATTTGCCCGTATCTTCCTTTGTGTCCTGCCTGTACAACCTGCTGAAACTCTGGCCACTCCATGCTCTTGTTCACAAAGATGCGGCCCAGCAATGCCATGTTCGGCCTTATGGTCTTCAAGTTCTCATAGGTTCGGTGAGCCAACTGAGACGAAAAATTGTTCTAGTGAAGACTACACAATAAAGGAATAATCTAACAAATACAGAGGCCATGAGAACTTACCAAAGCATTGTGCATATTTCCAGGAGATGCGGAGATGAAAATATCGCTATGCATGCTGATATAATAGTCAAGAGCTGCTAGAACAGAAGCCTTCCCTTCAACATTAGCAAGTTCGTCTTCAGATGCAAGGCTCCTCTTGTCCTCCATCAATGGAAATAGTTTGCGCAGGCTAGAGATCCTGGCTTCTCCACCATATACCTGAATATGTGAGGCATGTTAAAACTTCCTGATTACCCCTGCAAGAATAAGTTAGAGCACAGAAGAGTCAAACCTTGTGAGAAGCAAGATAGAGTCGAGTTCTGCTGTCAAAGCCAAGGGCTACCAGTAACAGCCCAATCTCTTCTGGGGTCAATGGGCAGCGTCCTGTGTTCCGAAGCTCCTCATCAGTTAGCTGTGAATTTAATACCCTCCCTTGCCATATAACTTGCCTGTACTTAGCAAGAGCTAGCTGTTCAGCTCTGCCACCTCCAAAGTCACAGGCAGAATGTGCAGCCATATCCTGAAAAGTATAGGTAAATTTGCAATGTTCTAGAACGAAATTCTTTATAAGAGCACAAAGATATACAAGCACCATCCAATACTGCAGAAGTTGTCATCTACCTTATCAAAACGGAGATGCAAAACTGCATATTTTTCAGCTTGATTTGTGCCTCCTTCTACAACTTGGTGGATAGATTTACTGGAATGACCCCGGACTGGAGACCTCAAGCGCTGCACAAGTGTCTCTCCGAGTGAGATAATGTGAGGCCGAAAGACCAGAGCTTGGAAGTTAACTTTACAACGCAAGCGTTGAAGATCCGCAGGCAAATCATCAAATGCAAGGCGGTGAGAAAAGGGAGCGATTGCAGCAATCCCATAGCTGGCAGTGACACAGCAGATAGATAAGATTGCTGGTGAAAAATTAACTTCATAGAGTAACCAACTCAGTAAATCAAACAATAGTTAGATATAATGTTAATAGAAATAGAGTTAACTCGGTAGCAGCTGACCTGGGCAAAACATGGACGACTTTCTTAGTAATCGTACTGATATGTCAAGTGTTTATCAATATGAAAATAAGTGCAAAATCTCAACTAAGGCAATCATTAAAGAGAGGGCTAGAAAGATGTCTTGTGATACAAGCGCCTTCAGAAAGTAAAACTACATGCATAACAAATAGAGACGTTGTAAATTCCATCTTTCACTAACCTTTGCAGGATAGGACTGACATTCTCCAAATACCAATTTGCTGAGGCGTGGAGAGGTGCAGTTTTTATTCTTGTAGCACGGATGCCTGTGCCATAGTACTCTCTCGTGCTCCAAGAAAATTCTTTTGGAAGCGCTTTGATAATGGAAACTTCATCTTTTAAGGAGTTGATAAAGTGATCCACATCAAATATTTCTTCAAATGAGCTGCAGCCAGAAAAAAATCTACCAGTATAAAAAATAGTTTAAGCTCAATAGGAGAACATGAAATATATAGTTTCAAACTCCAGAGGCACCTTGAATCCTTCCAAACAGGGTTTACTTCAAGATGCGGGATCACAAGAGTAGCATTAAGAATCTTTGCAACTGCAACGGCATCACATATCTACAGAATAGGAATAAAGAGTTGGCTAATCTAAAGCCTGGATTAAGCAAGCTATCTCATGTCCTAATATCACTATCAGTAATTAGAAGAGCATACCCCCATTCTTTGCTGGTTCAATCCACCATCAAGAAATACTTGAATGTATCCACTTGATTCCAGAGGTAATGCTAACATTAAAATAAAGGGTGCTTAATTAACTAATTTCTTCAACAGGAAGAGGAACTATGTTTCATCATCATGGAAAAGAAGTAAATTACTGTGAGAAACTGATGGCTTTAAGCATGGTCTCCACCCCTGATATGGCAAGGGTGACCATAGCTCTGTCTTTTGTTTGTCTGTCTGCAACAAAACATATGTTAAAATATCATCAGCCATAACAACGGTAGTTTTCATCTGACATAGATGTACTCACAACTGCCCATCGCAAAGCCTCATTTAAAAGAGAAGGATGCATTGGCTTAGGGGCATTCCACTCCTGCAAAATATCGGAAACAAAACATTGGCACGTGCAAAATTCCAAAATTAAATATAACATTTTACAGAATAATTCACCAGAAACATACTTCTACTGTAATCTCATAAATTGAGCTCACACATTGTGCGCACAGTGGTATCAACTGGTGATCAAGCTAAGTACTCCAGTACACACTTTATCCCATATACCACGAAAAGGAAACAAAGATCCTTGAGGACATATACAGGCAGAATGATATATCCTTCAAAAGAGTCCAGCTCTTTAGATAGTAGCTTTGTAGTTCAGTTAATTTCCATGAGGTCTTAGTTTTGCACTTTCTCTGAAATGGCGTGTAACCGATTAAAGACAACCAAAATTTTGGTTAGTTTTGCCACGCCATTTCTCCACAAGTACAACCACATCAATCCCCCTAAAATGACCCAGCAATTGCGCACTACAAACAAAGGGCAAGGGTTTACCAAGGCACCACAAATTAGCAACAGAAACCGCACGAAGCAACTAAACAAGCTGACGATATGTCACTACCGCCCGCTCAAATCGAATGACGCAACAGCGGGAAGGGGAAAGGGGGGCTCACCGAGAAGAGAGAAGGGAAGGCGTGGCCAAGCGGGGAGAACATCCCGGGGAATAGGGCCGGCAGAAACACCACGACCGCGGCGGCGAAGACCGCCGGGCCCCTCGCCGGAGACGGCGAAGGCGATGCCCTCCGCATCTCCCTGCTTCGGTGGGGAAGACGAGTAGAAAGGTAAAGCCCAAAAGCGTGGACTGAGCTGAGTTTTCTAGGATTTCAGCTTCAGGAAGCTAATTCGGCCCATTTTGTTTGAGTGTGAGCCCAGCTTCCCTTTATGAAATAATTTTAATTTTAAATTCGTTTTCAAAAATATACTCATGTCACCATTTTAGTCCTTGTTTGATATTTAGAGTAGTCCCAAACAGGCCCTTAGCATTGCTAGGAACCAACCATTTGTTTGAGTACCAGGTGTAAAGACATGTGCTATCAAGTTTATGCATTGGAGTTTTCTTTAATAATAGAGCACCTTGTCATGTGTTAAACCTCTCACCTTACTAAGAAAATATATATTAGAGCCGCCTTAGGATATACCCAACATAAATGATCAATGTGCTATTGCAACCTGTTTGAGTTGGCTATGGTAACATATTGAGTTGTCTATTTTTTTCTCTAGAAAGAACTATTTTTTCCAGCTTCTATTAATAAGAATAAGATGATGTGTCAATAAACGGTTGAAAGTTCATTGGTCCAGAGGTGAAAACTTTTGCGAACTTATGTAAAATTCTCATAATCAAGAGTTGAAGAAGCTGTAATAAAATTTTGAATAGCAAATGTTTTCAAAAGGCAGTTTGGAATTTTGAAGTTGAATTCTTAACCAAATCAGTGGAAAGTTTTTCCAAAGAAATTCAGTGTACGGAATTTCAAGTTCCAATTTAACGTTTTTCAAATTGAACTCTGCAGTTCAGTACAAGTACTTCGATTATGTTATTTTTGCTCCAGATTGAAAGGAATATAAATTGGTTTAAGATGTTTTCAAACGAGTTAGATTTTTTCTAAGATTTTTCCATGTGATGAAATCCTTGTGTGGATGAGAGGGTCATCATTTGTTCGAAACAGGTGATAACGATCAAATTAAGGTTCCTTTGAGCACCCTGTGTGCTCTGCTGTCGCAAACATGAACAGGTCTTCTGGGTGTGTTTGATATAGTCCCATCTCAGTTGGTATGGTTGATTTGTTCAGGTTTCGATAGAATATGTATCCATATAGCTTAGAATGCTAGATTTTGAGTATATAGACATATGTTATATGTAATATGCATCATTCGGCTTCATTAATTTCGGCCAAGAAAAAACATAGGTAAAGAACGAACGAACAAAGAATTTCTGAACAAATCCGACCGAATCATCTGATCCGGCGGTCCTACGAATGCCATCCATCTCAGTGGCTCGTCTCCATGAGCTTGACGAACTCGAGGAAGTCGATCCTGCCATCCTTGTCCCCGTCATACGCATCGATCATGCGCTGGCACCCCGCTTCGGCGACGCCGGCCTGGAACCCGAGCGACGTGAGCACGCTCCGGAGCTCCGCGGCGTCGATGAACCCGTCGCCGTTGCGGTCGAAGACCGCGAACGCCTCCCGGGCCTCCTCCACGGTCGCCTCTTCCTCCTCGAACAGCGCGGCCGCCTCCTCGAACCCGACGGACACCGCGCCGTCGCCGCCCGCGCCCATCAGCCCGAGCACCACGTCCATGTCGACGGCGGCGGCGGCGGGCTTAGCCGGGGACGACGGCGATGGTGGTGCGGTGGCGCTAGGGCCCTGGGGCCGGGGCCGCGGCGGGGGCGGCATCGCGGCGGCGGCCTGAGGAGGCGGAGGAGGAGGAGGGGGGACTTGATGATGGTGGTGAGCCAGAGGAGGATGGCGTTGATGGAGAGCGTCAGCACCGCCTGCGCCACGGACACGGTGTAGTAGGACGTGGTCGGCGCGGAGGAAGAGGCCATCTCCATTGCAGTTGCAAGAATCTTGTAGTCGAGTCGTGCAGCACGGTGCCTTTGGCGAGCTCCTCCTTGCTTTGCTTTGCCTCTGCTGGGTTCGGCGTTTGATGGTTTGGTGATCCGTGGGCGCGGCGGATATATAGCGCTGCAGGAAGACTTGGTGGAGGAGGCGAGGGGCGCCACCGCGACCGCGCGGAAGGCGAGAGGAACCGAGACAGGCGGCCTTGTCCTGCGCGGACGGAGGAACCGGCACGGAAACGCGAAAGAGACCGGGCGAGAGCAAGACGGTTCGCGACGCGCGGGCAGCTTCGCGGAAGGAGGGCCTCTGGCCGTGGTGGAGTAGAAGTGCGCGGGGCCGGAGCGTCGGTCGTGGAGCCGTGGGGTAGCGGGTGGAACGGTCGTGTGGGGTGGCAGCCCAGGCGGCGTCTTCCGCGCGGGTTCGCGGCGTGGAAAATGGGATGGGACGTCGACGTCGCGGGCGGAGACTTCACCCAGGCGCGTCCGTCTCCACTCTCCACCGGTCTTGGAGTTGGAACGGAACGGAGAAATTCCACGCAGATGCAGCGATTCTCCGCCCCCTTCGCTTTCGACTTTTCTTTCTCGTGCTCCCCCGTTCGCTTTCCCGTGGTTTCGCCGTCCCTCTGCGTTGCGTTTTGGCACTTTGTTGGAGTTCTTTGGATTTGGTACGGCGGCTGGACGGACGTGGGTGGAGTGAAGAGGACGGTTGATGGTCGAATGGATTGACCGTCCTTTTGCCGTTTTGCCGTCGGGTGCACGGAATGGACATGTAAATTACGTGGCAAAATCTTGTCACCAAGAGTGTAACACCCTAGGTGTTAACCTTGCACTTGCATAGCATGAGCATGAGCATGAGCATGATCATCAAGCATTCATAAACAAACATTTACAATTGAAACATTGGATTGAAACATATGCAACATTTGCTTGTTATCGCATGTTTCCTTTTACATATGCAAATGATCATGAGTGTAAAGGATGTGAGTCACAAAAACATTTAACAACACATAGGTTAGCAAATAGGACATTGTTCATGAAGGTCACCTTTCATGACCAAACACTTAAGTAAGATTTCATGTGTTAACCTAGATAGCACTATGTGTGACTAATACATGAAATGATTGTATGGCCTTGCAATTTGCTTGAACATGTTTAGAGTATCATTATGAACAACTTTGATATTCATGGTAAGGGGTAAATAGGTAATTAAGCCATAGTTTGAAGTGTATCATCATTTAAATGTGACATATTTGACCAAGTTTGAACTATGTGTTAGAGACCTTGCATGGAGGTGGTCACTAAAGCAAAGTTGCAGTATTTGATATAGGAAACAACTTTTATTTTGGGTCATTGACTGGTTTAGCTCCTAACCTATTGGAATTGGTCTCACAAGAATCAGGAAAACAACCATTTCAACACTTAACAATATTTTTCTAAGTCTGGATGACAAACAGCCTGACAAGCTAACCTTTAGGGTGACATAACTCGATTTCGGTTGTGAATTAGAGCATGATTCTTTAACAACAAATGGAGCTGGTACATAGGACTACAAAAGTCGTGTAGATCATTCACGTTATGGAGCTACGGTTTAGCAGTTAGATCGTCTTGAAAACACACTGTCAGGCCGTAATCGCAAACATTGACGAACTGAACCGGCTGGTTCAGTGACCGACCGGTCTCAGGGCTTGCGCGCCGCGTGGACGCGGAGAACGGCCGCGCATCGCCGTTGCTCTGAGCAGCCAGGCCGCGCCGAGCTAGAGCAGGCCATTATCACCCCCAGCACCGCCCGTGAACCTCTCAACGCTCGCATTTCATTTTCCCCCGCTCCTCCTTCGCCGTCCGCAACAACCGCAAAACCACAGCACAAAGAAGAAGACGAAAGCGCCATTCTGCGCCATTACCGACGCCACTTGCCCTCGCCGCTTCTCCACCACCGCAGCTTGCTCCACCAAAGCACCCGTGACTCACCGCATCCACCGTGCTTTCGCCGACCGCTTCGGTAAGCCCGACAAAGACTGCAGGCACGAGCTCGTCGGATTTCCGCCGCCGAGTCCGTCACCGTGGCCGAGCACCACCGTCCACCTTTCCACGCGATAGCTTGTGCGCTAGGTTCGCCTGAGTCCGTAGAATCTCGTCCGCGCCTTAGTTGTAATCGCCGTGGTCACCGCCGGCGTAGCGCCGCCGTCCCGCTCCTCCATGCCGCCATGGTCGCCGCCGTCGTCGCTAGCGCCGACGAGAGGCCCCACCAAGTAGCTCAATCGGTGCGCTAGGTCACGAGGGTCATGTAGTGTTGATGTCATCGCCGGCGAAGCTCGTCGTCGACGAGCTGTGGGTCACAAGAATGTCGCCTGTGCCTATTGCTGCTCTGCTTTCTGCACCACCGACGCGTGGGGTTCACTTTGTCAAAGGGACCTAGTTGTCGATGATGTGCAGATACAAAAGATAGTTTATTTTGATTCCAGATTTCATGTGTTTTATGATTTTTAGATCTCCAGTTGTATAGCTTCAAAAATTGTGAAATAAATTTGGTAGTGTTACTTAGGAAGTGTAGTATTTAATAAAAATATGATCTTGACACTTACAGTAGAAATTTTGGCAGATTTAAATAGAAATTTAAAATTTGTTTTTGAATGCATGCAAACTTGTTTATTTTATATCTAGAGTTTCTGTACTCCAAAAATTATGAAATTTTGGTAGCAAGCTATTCTTGACATGTTTGAGCTTTGGTAAAAATTTGAGGATCATTGCACGTATAGATTTGTAGTTATAGATTTTTCTTTTATAATTAGATAATCCTTGTATGAATTTTTATAAATTATTTATGAATCCAATATTCATGAAATTTGTTGGAGGTTGTCCTAGTACCATATGTATGTTAAGAAAAATATAAAATATGTTGCTTGATACTTTTCACTACGGTTTTCTATTTATGCTATTGTAAGCCTTTCTGTCTTGTCATTTTTGTATAGGATGTTTTACTTGGTAAATGGCATGAAACTTTTACAGTAGTCTATTGGTAGCACTAGTAAGCCACTGTAATTTTCTGAGAATTTATGATGCACATTTGGTATATGTTTATTATTTAACCTAAGTATCTTAGTAAATTGATAAAGGCATTTAAATAAATAGTTTGGGCATGGCCATTATGTTTTCTTGAGTGTATTTGATGCCCTTGTACTGTTGGTATAATTGGTGAAGTCAAATTTGGAATGTTTATATGCAATAGAAATATCGTTGCTTTATAATTCGGGAGAGAAGAGTTTCCGGACAGATTCTGTAGTTTGATAAGTTGCATGATAAAAATGTTGTTTGTTGTAAAAATGGTTAATAACAAAGTTGTATATAACTTCATCATATGTCTTGTGTTAAAATTTTAGGACCATAGGTCAAACGGCTTAGGATTTATAGCTGTTTAAAGTTAGTATTCCGAAATGCTTCTCTCTGGAATTTCTGGACAGTGCTGGATTGATTGTCTATTTTGGTTAATATAAAGTGTAAATTAGCTTTTGGTGATTAAATAAGAGTTGTAGACAATTTTATAAGCTTTCCAGAAAGTCTAAGATCACAGCATTTGGATAAGTAGAACTTCAGTTATAAGTAAAACAAGTAGCTGTCGTTTTGTGTGTAGTGAATGAATTGTAAATGTGTTTGATTAAGTAATCAAGAAGAGATATGCACCTACTCGGTAAAATATGATGCATTTGTTAACACCATGCTGTTAAGAATACTTATACGAATGCATTCATCATGTGTCATCATGCTATACTTGTACGCATGTATGCATTCGCAATACCTTATGCCATATTCATGCATATATGATCGACAGAGGAGATAACGTTGCTGGAATTCGACGAAGTAGAGGAAGGGGATCAGCAGGAGAATCCTCAAGTCACAGCTCCCGAAGGCGAGGAGCAGATCCCTGAGGAGCTTCCGGAATGCCCTGACCACCGCCCTACTTCCTTTCTGTGAGGCAAGCCCCGGAGCATTCTAAGTCTCCCAATGTTTTACAAAATAATACTTGAATCCTTTATGATTGATGCATTAGGTTATAGGAGTTGTTTGAAAACACTTGATGCATGGAACTACCTTGTCCAGATATATACACCTTTAACCCTATGTAGGTTCAGAATTGAATATATGCTTAGCCCTGCTTAGACCGGTAGAAGTCGGGTGATTTCCTATCACCTGCGAGATATAGGTGGATACCGAAGCACGGTCGGCTATATTTGCTATCGTGGAGAAGAACCATGGGATAAAAGTAAATCGAGACCGGGCGGGATGTCGATAGAGAAGCAACAAGACATGGAGGTCTTGGGTGTGGATCTATCCCCGTCTGTGTCGATTAAGGACCATACCGTTGTTGGCACTTTTGACAAGATTGAACGTATGCCTATCACTTATCTGGCCGGATAACTTGTTCCGACCGCGAAGCCGAATAGCTCAACTAAGGTCGGGACCCGTTCTGTTGTGCGCTCCTTACGGGGGGCGATCAGACTGAGCCCAAGGGCAGGCTAGACCAGAACGTCCTAGCATTTGGTGTCCTAGATTGTGCGACGCGGTACGGACCCGCGAAATGTGTACCTGGGTTGTACCAAAGGTGACCTAAGGCGACTAATGATCTGGTCTGCTTGGATTTGTGTTAGGAATAAATTCCCAGCTGGTTGAAATCGATTCAAATCGCCGTCTCTTCCGGATAGTGAGAAACTTGGCTAGCCCCAACATCGTAGTAATTGTACTATGGAATATGATGGTTCGGATAATCATGAAATTACTACACCTGCTATGGTTACTATTGTATGCTCTTAAAATGATATACCACATGTTTGGCACAGGATA